AAGTTACTCAGCCACCTTGGACCTGTTTCCTCATCTATAAAATGGGGGTAATAATATCTGCCCTGAAAGTACATAAAGCTCTTGGCAGGGGCCTGGCCCACGGGTTGCTCAAAATGCTCTCAGGTTATTACTGGGCAGGACCGCTACAGGTAGCTCACTTTCTTCTTGACATCTTCTGGACTTCTGCACATTTCCCTTGGGTGGCTCAGGCCCAGAGAGGGGCTGAGACAAATGAGGACTAAATCACAAAAGATTAGGATATTCTGGGCTGGAAGCCCCCTGTACACTCCATCTCTGATCTCAAGTACGCTGCACAGGGCCTGGCCCAAAGGAAGCATCATTAAAAGAAGAGGAAAGGAAAAGCTCACAGCAGCTCTGCCAGCACCACCTGCGCCATGGAGCCTGCCCTCTCCTGACCCCCTCTCCTTTCCTGGCGTCCAAGGGCCATAGTCATTCTGGCTAGTTCACTGCAGACCAAGGGGACCAGACCAGAGACAAGGTGGCTGGCTGTCCGTGAGTGGGATTAAGAGTCTCATGGACCAGTGCAGGGAGCACTGGCAGGGAGCACTAGCTTCCGTATCCAGAAGGAGTCCCCCACCTCTGCCCCAGAGCTCCTCATTTGCAACAAGGACCTGCATCCCACCCGACTCCACCATGGTCCAGCATCAACACCCTGCCCCAGGGCAGCTCCAGCCCTCCAGCTGGCCACCAGCCAAGCTCTGCATCTCAAGTGGCCTCAATGATGTTTGCAAACCTCACCTGGTCATGTCACTTCTGCTGAAATCTTTTTCAGGTCTGCCAGCTGCTCGTTGGACAAGGTCCAAAAATCATACCACCAATCGCCAGGCCTATTGCCCTCGCCAGCCTTCTCCAGCCCCTTTGCCTAGTTGTCCACTATACTTCAGACCTTGGTTCAACCTTGCTGTCCTCTGAGAAGGTGTCCCTCACCTCCCGGACCAGATCAATCCTCTTATCATGGGGTCTCTGAGCACCCCGGGCCTCTCACATGGAACCCTAGACACCTAATCATGGTGTAAGTCTGCATTTGCCAGTATGGGTGATTTGTTTCTCTTTATTGCTCACCTCTACAGTCCCCAAGGGCAGGGCTCATGCCTGTCTGTGTCCCTGGTAGCCCCAGTGCCTCACACACGCTGACAGCTGCCCCTTCTGCAGCACCTGCCACAGGTCAGCACTGCTACAAGCGGAAACAGTGAACAGTTACTCCTCATCACCACCCAAGGAGGCAGCTGCTCTCATTACCCCATCAATATGGTTTGGCTCTGTGTCCCCACCCAAATCTCATCTTGAATTGTAATCCCCATGTGTTGAGGGGAGGACCTGGTGGGAGGCGATTGGCTTAGGCGGCAGTTTTCCCCATGCTCTCCCCATGTTCTCATGATAGTGAGGGAGTTCTTTTGTGATCTAATGGTTTCAAAATGGCAGTTCCCCTGCACTCGTGCTCTGTCTCCTGCCGCCATGTAAGACATGCCTTGCTTCCCCTTCTGCCATGATTGTAAGTTTCCTGAGGCCTCCTCAGCCACGCAGAACCGTGAGTCAATTAAACCTCTTTTGTTTATAAATTGCCCAGTCTCAGGTCGTACCTTTATAGCAGTGTGAGAATGGACTAGTACGCCCGTTTTCCAGATAACGAAACTCATGAGACATGGGAAATTAAAATAATCTGCTCGTAGTCCCAGAACTGGGAGGTGACAGAGCCACTGTCAGGCTCCCGTGTCTGTATGATGCACCACTGTGCTTTCCTGAAGCAACAACTAAGGGTCGATTGGATAAACGACTAACCCTGGGCTCCAAGGTCGGCCAATACCATCCTCTCAGGGTCCTAGCTTCTCTGCCTCATTCTCAAAGTCCTGGGTCCAACTCTGTGCTGGGGCTGATGAGCCCCTCCCCTGCTGGACTGGAACATGGCATCTGTGGGTAGATGATAGATGGACAGAACTTGGGCTCTGGAGGAGGAAGATGAGGTGTAGCCCGGCTCTGGCCTGTGCCAGCTGTGGTGCCCTGGCAAAGCTCCCTCTGGCAAGCAAACCCAAGGATCTGAAATACAGTCCACTGCCCAGCCGTGATCCAGGCAAGGCCCCTTGGCCCTTTGAACGTTCACTCTTCTGCATGCTCAGGAGGGATGAGGGCCCTCACCTTTGCTTTCTCTCTGTCTTGGTCTTCCTCGAACCACCCATCTCTCCCACCCTTGAGCCTAGCAGAGGGATCGTCTTCCCACAAGACCATAAGCACCTGAAGGTGGAGATGAGCCGAGGGGATGACTGCATGGGGCTGATTCGGTTTGGTGCCCCCAGGGCAGGCCCTGCCAGTGTGGCTGATTTATCTGTCAACAGCCCAGAGTGGGTACTCAATGCACGTTTGTTGACCGAAGGAGGATGAATGGATGGGAGGCCCCAGACACCCTGCTGGAAGAGAAGGGGCCAGCACAGGGCCTGGGGGAGGCCAGCCCTACAGTCTCGTGAGGTCGCCTCCCAGCCCAAAGGGGATCTGATGAACAGTGAGGACCCTCTTCCCAGGGTCCCACCCATTCAGACAGACACACAACTTTCTCATCCAATCTCAGCCAAGCCATTACTTCCATCCAGGGAGGGCCTCTGCTTTTACCCTGTCCTTCCCATCGCACAGATGAGCCTAGGACCCTGGCCCAGCTAGCTGGGCCTCCCACCTAACCAGCCTGCCCTGGAGCTACCTCTGTTCACCCTTGGGCTCAGGGCCAAGTGTCCAGGCAAAAGGCATGACACTTCCCCTTGGCATTTTATGCAAGTCCCAATGAGAGCAGCAGACTCTGACTCCAGTGCATTTTATAGACCCCACACTCTTATCTGTTTTACACAGATGCAAATTGGAGTCCTGTCCGTGAGACCCTGAGTCCATGGTTCCCAGCCCCCTGTTGGCGGCAGGAGGACTCACTTGCTAGGGAGGAGCCTCAGTGGCCACACTCAGCGCTGTTCCTCAAAATGCGAGGAGAAGCAGCTGGCAGGCCCTTCTCCTACCATGGCACATCTGTCAGCAAGATTGGGGTGCGCTACCATGGGCCTGGCACTGAGGTTCCACAGTGCTCTGAGCAGGGCCAGCAGGAGGAGTTGAGGGAGCAACTGCTGCCACCAGAGCAGGGAGTGAGTCTGGGGTGGGAAGAGACAGGCTCCACTGGTCCCAGAGCAGCCCAGGAAGGGGCAAGCGTGGCAATTCAAAACAGCTGCGGACGCTCAGCATCTTCATGCACCTACAGCCTCTGCAAAGCAGGAGTCTCCAAAGGAGTTCCTGCCTCTCTGCCTGTCCTGTGCCTCAGTTTCCCCATCTGTAAATAGGTACAGTATCCTCCCACCCATCTCTTTAGGTCTTTGTGGGGAATCCAATGAGACAAGCCACATCAAATGCATTCAAGCGCCTGGCACACAGGAAGGGTTCCGTATATGGCGGTGATTATCATTAGCATACACCTTGTTAAAGCCCAGGGCACCTCCAGGCAGCTGCTAAGCACTGGACACCTGAGGCCTCCACTGCCTGCCTTCCAAAAAGGCAAGCCCAGCCCTGGGCATAGAGTCACAGATCTAGAGGGGCTGAGGCCAGTGCTCCTGCACTCTGCTCTGTCCCAAGACTTTGGCACCACAGATCCATGTACTCATGGCTGCCATGAGAGACCTCTATCCAAAGCTCCCAGACAATCTGATGGGCCAGAAGGAGGTCTACTCCATGACTCAGGAGAGTTGGGCTTCAGAGACTGCTCAGCAGCTCACTGTGCATGGCCTGGAGCCAATCAGTTAAGGGCTTTCCTTAAGCCATTCACCCTTTGCAGCTGGGTTATCAAAGAATGACCCAGAACCTGGGCCAACCAAAGCCCAGGGGTGCTCTTCACCTGGTTGCCCCATAGATGACACAGGCTGGGCTGGGAGGGCCCAGAGCCAGGAGCCCGTCTGCCCTCCACGGCTCCTTCAGCACAGGCGCTGTTCACTTAGCTTCAGGCCTTTAGCATCTCCCTCCTCCTCCGAACTCTCCAGCCATTCCGCAAGCTTTCTTTCCCCAGGACCTAAATGTTGCTGGCTCCGGCACTCCTCCTGGTGCTCTGAGTTTCTCACTTCCAATGCAATGTCCCGACAACCCTACCCTCTGCGAGAGCTCCGGGAACAGTCCGAAGAGCTCAGCAAGCCCCACATCATCAAAGCCTCAGCCACTAAAGTCTCATTAAAAGTGAACTCAAGTATTCCAAGAAGGCTCCCTGGGGGAGGTGGCATTTCTGCGCCAGCCTTCCCCTGGCTCTAACTCGAGCTCAGAGCACTCCTGAGTTCCAGAATATCTGTCCATGAATGATCTCCACTCAGCTAGGCTACATGTTCCTAAATGTAACATCATCTCTCCTCCTCCCGGGACCCAGCTCAGTCCCCAAGGCTAATGCCAGGGAGGTAAAAACTGTCTGATGTTTGCAGTCATCTCTTACCTTGCACCCACCACCATCCTCTCCGCCCCACCTCCTCCCACACCCCTAAGCTGGCCTGGACTAGCCTCCTCTCCCGCCTGTATCGCCCCTGGTCTCCCAGTCTTGGCTCTGGTCCCCAGCCCCCATTCATCCTCCTGGTGGCATCCAGTGATCTTTCTACAACGCGATCTTTCCACATCCCTCCCCAGGATGCATCTCACAGCCCGGTAGGCCTTATGTCCTTAGTCTGACATTCAAGGTCAACCTTCCCTATTTAGCAAGAAATCATCCCTCTGCCCAATCCCCCGAAGGCTGTAGGTTCCAACTCCCGCCCCCGCTCCCCCCTCACCCCGTCTCTCCCAGCCGGAAACTAAACTCAGGACCCCACACGGTGTCTCCAGATCAGGGACGCCCAGCCCTGGAAAGGAGCCCAGAGGGTGCCCCTGGCTTGGGTGGATATCCCGCTCAGTGCCCCTGAAGCCCCCCGACGAGGACCCCTGGGAAGCACTGCAAACACGGCTCCGACCCCAGTACCCGCTCCACGGCCCCATCTCCAGTAAATACTCACTTTGGCTCCAGGAGGGCCAGGGAGACCTGGATTTCCATAAGGCCCAGGAGGACCCTGAAAGGGAAGAGAAACAAAAAAAAAACAGGAGCCAGCTCGCCTCTGACTGCAGTGCCTGGCGCCTTCCCTCCGCCCGCTGGTCTGTTATCTTCCCCCCAGGCCAAGTCCCAGCAGCATGGTTGTGGCCACTCAGCCTACTTTGGGGAGCATCCCCTCCATGCCTGGCCTTGTGGGAAGCACTTTCCATGGGCCACCTCCTTTGGCCCTATTAACCTGGGAGGTAGGTGATGTTATTACTATTCTGAAGATAAGGAGGCTGATGTTCACAGAGGTTTGTAACTGCCTCAGACCACCCAACTGCTAAGAGGCAGAGCTGGACTTTGACGTCGGAGCACAAGTCCTTCACCCCTAAATTTTACCGCCTCTCCACCCTCTCAGCCTGGCCCCGTCAGTCCTTCCCAGCTTCTTCAGGCTCAAACCGCACTTAGCTACCCTCTTCCCTCCCACGTATCTGGTACTTTCTCTCCTCATTGCCTTTGCCCATGCTGTTCCCTCATCTGGCGTCATCTTTTCTCATCCATCTCCTCTGCTTAAAACCTGATCCATCCTTCAAGCCTGGCTCAAAGTGCCATCTCCTCCAAGAAAACCTCTAGAGCTCTTCCAGCCTCAAGTGGACTTTTTTTTTTAGAGACAGCGTCTTGCTCTGTCGTCCAGGCTAGAGTGTAGTGGTATGATCATAGCTCACTGCAGCCTCAAACTCCTGGGCTCAAGCCATCCTCCCACCTTAGCCTCCTGAGTAGTTGGGACTCCAGGCGAGGACCACCATACTTGGCTAATTTTTATTTTTATTTTTTATTTTGGAGAGATGAAGTCTCGCTATGTTGCCCAGGCTGGTCTCGGACTCCTGGCCTGAAGCAATCCTCCTGCCTTGGCCTCTCAAAGTGCTGGGATTGCAGGCATGAGCCATGGCAGCTGGCCCCATATGGACTTTTGTATGAGCCTTTGGAGTGGAGAGCTCAAGAAGGATGCATTTGACTTCTTTTGAACAAAGGCACACCTCTCCTGTGGCTACAACACGTGATCAGAGTCCTCCCTTAGACACCTGCGAGCTCCAAGCTTTCAAGATCTTCCAGAGACCACAGAGCATCTGGGAACACTGGACCCAGAGAGTCCAAGAGGCTTGGTCAAGGTCATACAGCAGAGCTGTGGCCAAGTGAGATCAGGGTCCAAGGCCCGGTGGCTTCAAGTCCAGAGTTTATTCATAGTTCTGGATTTTCCCAGGCTATATCCAAGTTCCTCTATAACAGCTGAGACCTGTTATGTCCACTTTCTCCAGCAAGGGCCCTGGCCTAGAGTCTTCCAGCCCAGTAATATAAATAGAGCCCTAAGAGTCGGGTAATACTGGAGGGGTTTTGTCTAGCACGAATAATCTGGGGCATAGGAGGTGAGGAGAGGTGCCCCAAGGGGTCCAGTGGTTCTCCCCACCCTACCGGCCTCTAGGCAAGCTGCCCTCATCCCTGTCCCTCTTGATTCTTCGGGCTGACTGTGTATGAACTGCTTTCTGCTTCTCTCTCTGAGGCCAGCTTCCCAGCTGCAGCCTGTCACATTCCAACCAAGGCACCTCCCTCTTTCTCTCTTCCTCGATGCCTGAATTGGGACCCTCCCCTTCCCCGAATGCACTGGGAAGGAACAGTGTCCAGAGCACACTGAACCTGGGAGTTTCTCAGAGCCACGTGTGACCCTCCTTCCTAAATAATCAGCCCTCCTGCCCTCCCCCAAAGTCGACCAAAGACTGTCTCCCAACACGTGACAGAACCTAGAAGCATCGAGACGGGGTCCCAGTTCTGAGTCCCACCTGGCAATCCCCAGTCTCGGTATCTCCCTCTGTTCTGTAAATGACTGGGACCCAGCAGTGTCTAAGGATCTGGAACATCCCCCGATGTTCACTCCAGCCCAGGCTCGTGGGGTCTAATCACAAGCTCAGTGGGAACTGGACAGAGGTTGGCAGCGGGTGTTCAAGGAGGGATTCCTGACAACCAGTTCTGCCAGAGCCAGGCGTGGGCTGTACAAGGTCAAGGGTGGCTGCCTCTCCCCAGTCGTGCCCCCAGCTGCCCCACAGATGGTAGGCCAGAGTACTCAGCACCCCCATCTGCAGCTCGTGAAGGTGGGGGCTTCCTGTTTCCCTGCCCCCCCCATCCCCACCCCTTTCCAGCCACTGCCTTGCAGAGAAACAAGGCACATAGTTGACTCAAAGCCAAGCAGACTGATTTTATAAATGTGGCAGCCCAGAAAGCCAGGTGGGGGAAGCTCTGGGATTCCCTGACATCCCTCCGTGGGCCAGGGGAATATGTGAAGGTAGGAAAGGGCAAGACACAGAGCTTTGGGTGACCTCAGATAAGAATGCCCCTCCCTAAGCCCCAGAGCCACCATCTGTGCAGAGAGGAGCTGGGATTGTTTAATCCAGCATTCTATTATCTTTGGAATTTTATCATCTATGGAATTTCCAGTCTAGAAACAGGATGATGATGGGGTGGGGGAGCAGTGGTGAGCAGGCAAGGAGCCTAGAACCACGTCAGGACAGTCATTCCCCCAGAGCTAGGTGGAAACTTAGAAACACCTTACCATGACCTCAGGTTTTATAGATGGGGAAACTGACGCTGGAATGAATTTGCCTAAGATTCCACAACTTCTTGGTGGAAATATTCTTGACTCCTAAATTAGAACTCTTCACCAATCATTTACCCAGCACCTCCTGCATGCAGGGCACTCTGCTAGGCATCGTGTAGGAGGGTGGTAATCAAGGCCCATCTCTGGAGGGACTCAGGTGAGTACCCAGAAAAACAGCCACAATAGATGCTTTAGATGGTAGGCTGTGCACCGGGCGTGGTGGCTAACACTTGTAATCCCAGCACTTTGGGAGGCTGAGGCGGGTGGATCACTTGAGGTCAGGAGTTGGAGACTAGCCTGGCCAATGTGGTGAAACCCCATCTCTACTAAAAAGATAAAAAATTAGCCGAGTGTGGTGGCGCATGCCTGTAATCCCAGCTACTTGGGAGGCTGAGGCAGCAGAATTGCTTGAGCCTGGGAGGTGGAGGTTGCAGTGAGTCCAGATTGCTCCTCCAGCCTGGGAGACAGTGAAACTCTGGCTCAAAAAAAAAAAAAAAAAAGATGGTAGGCTTGGACGTAGACTGCCTGGGTTCAATCCTGGCTCTGGCATTTACAGTCTTTGGCTTTATCTGAAGTAACTGAACCTTTCTGAGCCTCAGTTTCCTCATCTGTAAAATGGGATTCGGCTGAAACCTGTTTCTCAGGATGGCTGGGAAGGTGGAATGAGACCCTGCAAATGTGGCTCAGCAACCAGAGTTCAGTGGTCAATGAGAGCTTTCAGAAGGTGGCCCATGCCATCCAGAGGGAACAGAGGAACCACTGAGGGAGTTCCAAGAAGGGAGTGGTCATCAGAAAGAAAGGTGACATTTGCTCTTAGATCTGAATGAAGGAAGAGTTTACAAAGAAGGACACGCCAGGTAAAGAGGACAGCCAGGGCAAAACGCAGAGGCTGGGGGCTTAGGAGGCTGGGGAAAGGGTGGACTGCCCGGGCCTCAAATGCGAGGTCAACTGCCTCATCCTGGCCCCAGGCTGCAAGGTCCCATCGCCAGCAGCATCAGCAATATCTATGTGGTCCCCAGGGCTTGCGCTTCACGAAGGCTCTGAAGCCAGGAGGAAATGCCGCTTTAGATAGCAGATTCCAGAGCCCAGGGCCCAGAGAGCACAGGGCCAGGTCTGGAGGGAACTAGGGCTTGGGTAATTGCATAACCAGAACCATTCACTGGGCTCAGAGCTAAAAATATGCCCCAGGCAGCTGTCTCTGCCAGGGCCTCACCAGGCACCCAGCGTGGGAAAGGCTGATTCAGCCCGGGCACAGATGCCAGGTGCTGTTGGTCTCGGCCCTCTAGGGAAGGAGATAGGTTTCCCTCTCAGGGGATCTCCAAGGGTTCCAGCATACGGGTAAGAGCCCGGGTTCCAGTCCTGGTTTTGCTGTTTCCTACTCGGTTTCCTCATCTCTAAAACGAGAATGATCACACTGCCCCATGGGGGCTTGGGGTGGGCATGAGAGATCAAACGAGGCGGCATAAAAGAAGGGGCCAAGCATAACACAGAGGAGCAGCTTTCCCCCTGGGGCTTGGGCTAGCTCAGCCAGCCTCCGCAGCCTGCCAAGCTGTGCCCCGGCCTCCCTCCAGCATGAGGAACTCAACTCCTCGCTATGTCCCCATCCCTACCCCAGGACAGCCCTGCAAAAACAGGAAGAGGGATGGATGCGAGGACCATATGTTCCCCAAGTCAGAGTTTTTCCCGGACAAACACTGATGCCCATCAGCTGAGGGGATGTGGTCTTCGGGAGCCCCTTACCCCATCCCAGGCTGGAAAGGGTGACACCCTCAATGGACAACTGACACCTACAAGAGGTCATTGCTGTCCCAGTGCCGTATCTGTCCGTATAGTACCCCTAGAGCCTAAGTCCACTCCCAATGGACAAAGCAGAATGTGGATGCTGGAGACGGGCAGGGAAGAATCTGAGGACACACGGCAAACCTGAGGCCTCGGGGCAGTGAAACACCGGCCGGAGAGCCAACAAGAGTTCCCAAGGACAGCGTGGGATAACTCACCCGAGGCCCACGTGCACCAGGGATTCCAGGTAGCCCAGGCAGCCCAGGGGGACCCTGAGGAGAAAGCAAGAAGACAGCATTAGACAATGCCCACTGGCAGCAGAGAAGGGGCTCAAGCAGTCGGCCAACAATCCCACCTGCAGCTGTGGGCATGGATAGTCCGCAGCTCAGAGGAAGACTCAGATTCCTGAGGTCCCTGCCCTGAGAAACTCATGGTCTTTGGGGCTTTCAGGCTTTTGTAGCTGCTGTTAGTCACTAACACCTCATCATTTATCGCCCAGCTAACTTAGGGTGTCACCTCCTCCAGGAAGCCTTCCCCAAGTTGGACAAAGTCCCTTCTTTTCCTCTATATTATAGAGCACTATCTTCCTTGGGGAATTATCTGCTTAGAAGCCTGCCTCTCCCACCAGACGATGGTCTCCTCAAAGGAATTAAGGGGATATGAGTCATCTCTCCAGCCCCAGGGCTCAGCCCAACGTTTGATAAAATAAAACAGCAAGAAGCCTCAGAGCTCAGCCAAATTCTCTGCAGAATCACAACAAAGAAAGGACTTGGCCAAGGTCACACGAAGTATCTCTGCCCCACAAAGAGGCAGCACAACACACATACCACATCGCTCTGTGTTTTTGAATCAGACGCGCCTGGGTTCGAATCCCTGCCTGCCACTGATAAAATGTGCAAGTCTTCAGCTAGCCTATGCCCATACACATGGGGGCAATAATACACTGCCCATGGGATTCCAAGGATGACATCAGAGATGATACGTTTAACATGGTGCCTGGTACATAACCGGCACTCAAACGTTCTATCTGTTCCCGTGGCCCCATGTGGTCCAGCCAACAGCCCCCTCAGTGGTCTCCCTGCCTCTACTCTCTCCTCCACCCCCTTCCCACGGCCATCCTCCCCCACACAGCCTCATTCACCTTCCAAAAGCCCTCTCCTGCTCAACAACATTTAAGAGCTCCTCATTCCCACAAGTGAAAGACCCAACCCTGAAACTTAGCATTTAAGGAGCATCTGTGTATCCTCATCTCTCTTCTCTTTAAGCAGGAAGAGAGGCAGCCCAGTAGACTTACTAACCCATGAGCTGACCTTTGTTCAAATCCTGGTTTTACCACTTATTAGCTGCAGGCTTCCTGCAGTTCCTCCCACTTAGCTGAGTCTCAGCTGCTCCCCATCAAGATGGGTCCAATAGCTACCGTTGCGTCTACCTCGAAGGAGTAAATGAGGATTAACTGGGCGCCTGATGTGAAGAACTGTGCCTGAAGCCTTCAAAGGAAGCCAGGCTTTCGAGGATGTGTGAGGCCTGGGGAATTCATTTGTTTCAAATAACCATCAATGAGATTCCAGGTTTCCTGCCCAGAGTTAAAATCGGTGTTGAAAACCCAGTCCGGTTTGGCTGGTAATTAATCCAGATCTCACGCTGGGCAGCCTCGGCTCACAGTTCTGGCCTGTGAACACCACGTGCTTGCTCGTCCACGAATAAAAGTCAGAGGAGAGATTCAGACAGGCAGATATGGGTACCAAGGTCACTGGGCAAGAGCTCTCAGGGGAAGGAGGAGGGGCTGTTTTGTGACTTCCGGCAAGTCCCAACCACCTCTGAGCATCTGGGGACCTCGGGCCAAACTGGCGGCAGAGCTCGGGGGCTGGGTAGAGGGGTCGTCCAGTTTTGCAGGTTCTGGACTCTGGGCGCCAGTCTTACCCCCTTCTTGTCTTCACCTGGCTTTGGGCAGCAGAGTATGGTGTAAGATGGGGGGGCGCCTGCATTCACATCGGGCACCCCCTACCTACTAGCTGGGTGGCTTTGCGCAAAGCTATTTCCAGTCTCCAAGACTTTGTTTCTATTACTGTAAAATGAGGTTAATAATAGCACCTAGCCGACAGATAATCTATAACAAGTGCTAATCCTGGTGTCTGGCACCCAGCTAATGCTCAAAAAAATGTTAGCTGTTATTTCTGTTAAGCAAGCTCCTGGAAAGTCCTCAACTCAAAATGTTAAGCCATCCTCCTTCACATCTGTTTTTAGGGGATAAAAAAAGATGTCCCTTCTTAGAAGGCCCTTCTTGACCCAATTCTCCCAGGTGGAATGCAGGGAGGCTGAGACTAAGCATACGGTAGGTATACCATGCCGTTTCAACAGATAAGAAACCAGAGAGAGGTTCAGAGAAGCAAAGTGGCTTGCCCAGTGCCACACAGCTAACAAAAGGCAGAGCCTGGATTCAAACCCAGGACCACTGGACCTGTTCTCCTAACCTGGGCAGCTTCCACACAATCTTGGTCAAGTGTGACTCTGACTAGGTATAGATGACTTCTACAGCCATCTGTGAAATGAAGACCCTAGAACCTTCCTGGCACTGGGATTTCCTGAGCTGCGGAGAGCCAAGGTGGGGGTAATTTCCTCTGCTACATTATCAGGTGAAGAGGAAAAGCGAGATTCTTCCCATCTCACAGAAGAGAAGGCCAAGGCCCTGCAGGGTGAAGGGCTTATCCAGGACTCCGGGGAGGTACGGGCTCCATGGGTGCAGCTCCTTCATGGACCCTGATGGGGCTGTAGCTGCAGAGGCCTGGACACTCCCTCTTGGCATTTTTTCTGCCCCAGAAATAGGGGCATCCAGGCTAGTGTCTGACCTCATCCGCCACATCTGCAGCGCAGACTCTGAGTGCCACTCAGGACCCAGGGTCCAGCCTGGTGATGTCAGCCCACAGGCTGACTCCTTGACAGGGCGGCCCCAGCCTGGGGCCTGGCCAGTCCCTTCACTCCATCAACCTGGGTCGGGCCCGCTCGCTGCCCACTTTGTTCGTGGCGAGCACGGGTGGGTTTTCCCTGGCCCCTCTCCCCTGATCTGAGACCCGGCTTGTTCTCTCTGCAGTGGAAAAACGCTGCCGTTTCTTTCCAGGGCCTGAAGCCTGAGCGGGTGACTCTAGGATGATTCACGAGGCCGGGGTGGGATTTTCCACTACACATTGCAAACAACGGGGCCTCTGAGAGGGCCCAGAGCTGAGGGGGAGCACAGCGGGGGCTCACGCCTGCCTGGGGGAAGTGGAGGAGGCCTGGGCTCCAGGCGCACGCAAACAGAGCCTTGGAAACAACCAAGCAGACCCCTGGGAGCTTCCCCCCAGGGTCCTGGCCTCTGACCAGCCAGATCTAGGGGAACACCATCCTACGGAACAAGTCCACCCTTGTGTCCAGCTGCAAGAGCCTGCCTGCTAAGCCCTGCAGAAAGAAGTAAGTGCTGGCTGGCATGGCCCCTGGCAGTCAGCACTGAGAGGTGTCACAGGCTCGGGGTTTGGGATGCCAGAGTCCAGTTCTAGGTGTGCTGGTACCTACCACGTGACCCTGAGCAACGTCCTTTTGATCTCTAGGCCTCTACCCTGTGTCTGTAACCTGTGGGGGGTAGATAGGGGCTCTCAAAGGGCCCTCCTATCTCTGACTATCTGAGCTCATGATTAGCCCTAAAAATTCCCACATGGCACCCAGACTTTCCTAGCCTCTGTTCTAGGAAGGACCTGCTGGAACAGAGCTTCTCCGCATCAATACAGCTCTGTATGGCCTTGAGCACGGGTTACCTCACCTCCCTGGGCCTCTGGGCCTCCGTTTGTCCAGCTGTGAACTGGGAATGTCATACCCACATTCTGAGATGCCATGTGCCTGCTGATTCTTCTCCATTTACTCCCCAGATCCATGCCATGCCCTAGGAAGCTAACTTCTGCAGACTATATCCCGACCTTCCTTGACCTCTGGCTTCCAGCTGGGTTTAGCCAGTGGGAGACCCCAGCAAGAGACTGCATGGTAGGGAAGACAGGGATTTCTCTCCCTGTGCCCTCTCTGCTGTGCTACAATTTGGCTGCAGCTGTGTTCTCCCATGGCCCCTGCTTCTGTCAGGAGACCCCTGCTCAAGGTTTTAACTCCCACTAGGTTCTGGGAACACCCTTCCCTTCCCTGGGACCTTCTGGTCTGGGCGTGGTAACAATTTCCCGCCGTTTCCAGGCTCGTGTGTTTCACCTGTCCTTGCTGGCTCCTTTGATGCTGTCCACCCCTCCGTAAATAGTCTTTCCCTTAAACCTCCCCAGCAAGTCTGGGCCCTGCCTGGAACTGATCTACAGCATGCAAAGTACTTAGCAAAGGGCTGGCACACAGTAGGTGCTCAATCATAGTATGCTAGAGGCAGAGCAAAACACCCCTGCATTTTCCTGGGTTCCAAAGGATGCAGTGTAAGAGGAGAATTTCTCGAGGTTTAGCCCCAATTTCTAAAGGCCAAAACTATGACGGCCCTAGAAACATCAAGAGACGTCCCTCCAGCTATGCCCCGGGTGGCGGGGGCGGGGGCTATTGGGGTGAAAATGCAAATGAAAACAAGTCAGGAAGCTTTCTTTGAGGCTTCCGAAGCCACAGGTGCAGAGGTTAAGAAATGGGGGCAGTCCTCCCCTAAAACCCCTCCTGTCTAGCTGACAAGGGTCAGGCTCCCAAGCTGCCCCTGCTCCACCGACTCCAGGTTAGTATTTTCATAGCACAATTCTCAAGCAAATGTGAGACTGTGTCCAGACCCTCCTGGTTCTCAATGCACAATGTCCCCACCTCAACGCCCACCATCAGTCCACAATCACAGCCACGACAATCTGCCAGGGCCCAGGCTTCACATGTGCTTTACCTCCCACCTCTCACTGAATCCATGCCACAACCCTGGAAAGGTGGGTGGCACCATATCCCCACCGTACAGAGGCAGAAACTGGGGCTTAGAGAGGCTAAGTGATTTGCCGAAGGTCATACGGCACCAGGCATCTAGAGGACCTTCACTTAGCAACTGTGTAAAGACTGAACGGATGGCTGGATAAGGGAATGGTTCAAACCCAGGTCGCCCCCATCCAAAGCCTACGTGCTCCTGCAGTCCACATGACCTCCTCATCTCCTGGCAGGAGAGTTCTGGGTAACCTCAAGGAGCCCCGCCTGGGAGTCAGGACGACCTGCATTTCATCATAAGGATCAAATTCTTCCAATCATTTCAGAGATCGTCACAGAGCACATGCTAAGGGCCAGGCCCTTACTTGGGTCTTCCCGAGGGGACACTTGCAAAAAGTACAAGCGCGGGCAAATACCAGTGGCCTGATCGTGAATAAATAAGGCCTTGACCCGCCTCCTCTCAGGCGCAGGGCTTCTGTGCAGCTTCTGTGCAGCGCTGTGAACCACAGCCTCCCCGCCCAACTCACCCGAGGCCAAGCTCAGTTTTTCCATGCTCCCCCCCTCCTGGGGCTCCCACAGAGCTCCCTCACTCAGCAGCTACAGCTCCTGGCAGGCCTGGGCCCAGAACTGCATCTCAGCCTCTGCCAGCTGCTCTCGTGCCCTGAACCCCAAGGAACAGGTTTGCGCATGCAGGCACAGCCACTGCCCCTTTCTCAGGCACGGAATGGTCCCGCAGTCCTTTCTAAGGGAAGAGTTCTCCCAACACCCTGGAACAGTGGGAGACTGAGCCCCGGGGAGAGGAAAGAACTTCCCCAAAGTCACTCAGCAAAACTAGATAAGATGGCCCAGCTGACTTCATTTCTACTGCAGTTGTGTGTGTGTGTGTGTGTGTGTGTGTGTGTGTGTGTGTGTGTTTCAGAGTCTCGCTGCATTGCCCAGATTGGAGTGCAGTGGTGTGATCTCAGCTCACTGCAACCTTCGCTTCCTGGGTTCAAGGGATTCTCCTACCTCAGCCTCCCAAGTAACTGGGATTACAGGCATGCCTGGCTAATTGCTGTATTTTTTAAAAGAGTGATCCTGCCTGCCTTGGCTTCTCAAAGTGTTGGGATTACAGGTGTGAGCCACCGCATCCAGCCTCTTCTACAGTTTTATATGTGTATAAAATTTGGGCATTTTCAGGCCACCCTCCCCACCAGAGGTGGGCGCTATCATCATCTTACATTCTACAAAAACAGGCTCAGCGTGGAACAGTCACAGAGCTAAAAGCGGGGGAGCCAGGATTTGAACCCAGGTCTGCATGTCCCCAGATGGAAGACAAACTCTTCTCCTGGGCAGCTGGAGCTTCTGCTCTGCTGGGCTAAGATCCTGGATGTATATGGGGGTTGAGGGAAGACAGCAGAGGACAGAAAGAATGAGAGTTCATTTCGTCACCATTCAAAGAGGCCTCTTCCATTACATTATTCTGGTATGTGGTGAAGAAGTGACCAGGTTGCCATCTGCTACACAGTGAACAAAGATTCTACCAGTTTCCTGGTTCCTCCTGGAGTGAGTTTATGTTCCATGCTGTGGGAGGGTGGGGACAGGGGATAGCATGGGGCCTGAGGCAGGGATGTCACCTGGGCAGGTTCATGTATTCCCCTTGTTCTCAGTAGTCGGGGCTGGAGAAGCAGAAAGAGTCTCGGCCCTGGCCAGAAGTCAGGGAACACAGGTGGCATCCCAGCCCCTTCAGGAACTCGCCGGGTGCCTTTGGCCAAGTCCTTTATCTGTTTCCAACACCTGTTGGATCACCTATGGGGCAGGGATGAACACACAGCCTGCCCTCCACAACCAGTTTCCACGAGGTCCTAAAGGAGACGCCGTGGATATGGAAGTAGCTCAAAAACTTGATAGGTTATCGAATCAGAAGACTCTTTAGGCCGGGCACAGTGGCTTAAGCCCATAAATCTAGTGCTCTGGGAGGCTGAGGCAGGAGAATCACTTGAGGCCAGGAGTTTAAGACCAGCCAGGGCAACATAGTGAGACCCAGACTCTACAAAAAAAAAGTGAAAAAATTAGCTGAACATGGTGGCACGTGCCTGCAGTCTCAGCCGCTTGGGAGGCTGAGGCAGGAGAAAGGCTTGAGCCTGGGAGATTAAGGGTGCGGTGAGCGATGATCACACCACTGCAGCAGCCTGGGTGATAGAGTGAGACCCTGACTCTAAAAAACGGAAAAGAAGAAAAGGATTTTTTAGATGTTGAGCCCTTCCTCTGAGGCCAGGGGCAGTACCTAACTCCTGTCTGAAGCCCCCAGTCCCCCAGATCTGAGTCCCAGAGCCTGAGAGTGGACACTCAGGGTAGTGAGGTGGAATGCGCATGTTTCAGGTATAGAGTCTGGAATGTAAATTTCAACTCTGCCTCCTCCGAGCTGCCTGGCCTTGGGCAGATCCTGGCCCTCACTAAGTGCCATTTCTTCACCTGCCCAATGAGGACGTTAACTAAGTCATCCCCAAGCATCCACGGACTGACCAGGTTCACTTCAGTGCCTCCTCTTTTTCAAAGAGATTTGGCAGGAGGCCTCCCTTCCTGCCGACCCAGAGCCCTGAGCCCCAGGAAAAAGTATTTGACTCAGACATACAGCAGACCCAAGATTCTACAGAATCTGCCCTGGGCCCGCTCTGCTCCTCTTCACACGACACACATTCTTGCGGGGGGAGGGCTGGCCTCCTCCTCACGTCTGGGTTGTGCTGTGTAGCCAGAGTTGAGACCATGGACCTCACCATGTCCTGTTAGGAGGGGACAGTTCCCCTTCTGACCTCACCACCATTGAGCCCAGCACACACACCGCGTGGGAAGCAGAGCTGTCGGGGCCCAAGGCACCTGGTGCCAGTGCTGGCCTGGGCTGCCTGGAGAGGTGAAAAGCGTTCCTCGTTCTTTCCACAAGGAAGTGGTGGCTCCCAACTCTCTATGCTGCCAATTTCAGAACACAGGATTTGAGCAGAACGTTGACATAATTCCAAAGCAATGCATACAGTTTCCATAAGTTCTACAATATGGTTATAATAAAGGCAGGCTCTCAGTCCCCATGGAGACAGGCTGGATAAATATTATTCCTAATGATTATTAAAATTCATTAAGTGTGTTTGGAAGGCCTGGGAATTCCCAGCATGTGCCACTGTCTCTGCATTGTAGGGAGCCCTAACCTCAAACACGGAGCCCAGTGGGAGAGCGGGTTTGGGAAGGAGAGAGACGGGTCACCACACGGTGGTCACCTCCAAGGTGGGAGAACAGAGCAGAGCCCTAAGCCTTCTGGAAACGCCATCCCATCATTCCCCACCCAGAGAAATTGGCCTCCAGCTGTGGGAAGTTCGTTGCCCCTGGAGATGGTCCCAGGCAAGCCGGAGACATCGACCCTGAGACCATCTCCCCCACATCGTGTTCTTTCTTCTCCCTTCCTCTTCCCTCTGGCCACGCCGACCTTCTGCATCCCAAACTCCTACCAGGGGTGACAAATCAAACCCATGAGGGCACCAGCCAGGCAGGTAACATACACGGGGAAAGGACTGGTCAGAAGACTCAGTCGGGAGAAGTGGGGACCAGCACGGATAGGAGCGGGCTTGTCCTAACAGGGTGCCACTTTCCAAGAGAAGCTGGTCGCTGAGTCTTTTTATAAGAAATCTCTCACATTTTTAAAATGTTAGTAACTTATTGGATTTTTTAAAAAGAACACTGCAAGTGCCAAACCAAACATATCCAGAGCTCCCCATGTGCGACCTTCGTCTGCGACTCTCAGACAAGCTGATGGGCCAAAGGACCCCGGCTCCATGCGCTAGGAGAGCGGGGCTTTGGGAGCTGCTTACTCACTGCGCGATCGGGGCCAGTCAGCCACGGGCTTTCCTTAAGCCATTCGACCTTTGCAGTTGGGTCAGCGAAGAATGGGCTTGGGCCTAGGCCGACCAAAGCCTAGGGGTGCTCTTCACCTGGGGGTAGTCACCAGACTTGAGTCTGTCCCAGTGGATTATGAATCTGGAGCAGGGTGGGCAATGATACATTTAGCACAGCCAGAGGAGCCAGGGGCCTGGGTGGAACCGGCTCCCTGCTCTAAGCTGCTCCTTTTCCCCTGTCTACCAGGAGCAACCACTTGACCAATGCCCCAGTCCCCCACTAGAGCTCCAAGCAGCATGCAGACCCCACACAGTCTTACCGGCAAACCACAGTCTCCCTTGGGCCCTGGAGGCCCCATCAGCAGAGGGAAAGGCGTAGATCCAGCCAGGTGGAAGAACGAATAGCCACTGCTCGTGGGCCGGGGGCTGGAGGACAGGAATTGCACTGGGGCCAGTACCAGGGCTGGGGTGGTCTGCTGACTGGGCTGGGACTGTCTGGGGCTAGGCCTGGTTGTCACATCGCTCAAGGGGACATCCCTGGCTGCCTTCCCAGGTCTGAGGGGGGCGGGCTTTCGGGGGCTGCTCTTGGGTCCAGCTTTCTTTGAAGCTTCCGATCCAGTGGGCTTCTTGCTTCTGGTGGGAGCTGAGCCAGGAGTGGGGATGGCAGGTGCTGTTCTGGGAGCACTGGTGCCCGAGGTTGGAGGCACCATCATGGCTGGTGGCCGACGAGTCCTGGTGGAACCAGGAGTCGGGGCAGGAGAGGAGGCTAGAGCGGTGGATGGGGGAGGTTTGTGGGTTCTGGTGCGGGCAGAGGCCGGCTTACTGGCATGGCTGGTCATCTTGGCCTCAGTCTGAACTACCGTGGGAGTGTGTTTTTTAGAGGAGCTAGTGACAGGAGGTAGGGGCCGGGTGCCAGGCGGTGGGGACCTGGGCATTCCTGGGTTCCTCTGGATGGGCTTCTCTGTGGGACAGGAGACTTTGGCAGGAACTGGACGGGAAGTAGGTGGCACTTGCTTCTGAGTGGGTGGGGTTGACTTTGTAAATGAAGGTGGAGCCGTTTTCTGGGTCGTTTGGGAGTTTCTGGCAGAGACACTTGAAGGAGAAGGGGCTAAAGGTTTGATAGGGAGGCTTTGGGGGATTTTGGTGGCTGTGATCTTCTGTGATGGTTGAGCGGCCACAGGACGAGGCATTCTGGTAGAGCCGGCAAGAGACGCTGGGAGCGCAGGAGCAAGGGCCTTACGGGCTGGCAGCTTGGCAGGTGGTAGTGGGGTTTGGGCTGGGCCTCCCACCGCGATCTGCTGGTGAGGGTTGGTAGGGCTAGTCCTTCGGGGCTTGGTGGGCACCATAGTCACCCCGGGTACCCTGCCTGCTGGCCGTGACCCCAGGGCTGGTGTGGCAGTGGTCAGGTTCTCCAGGCCTAGCAGGGCGAGGTCGGACTGGAAGGTGAAAGCTCTGCTGGAGTCTTGGGGGAAGAGAGGTCCCAGCGGGGACTGGTACATGCCAGCCTGTCCACACTGCTTCCTCAGGCGGGTACAGTAATTGTGAGCGACCTGCGTCACAGGGTAGATACTGAATTGGCACAGAGCACCTTCAAACTGGACTGCGTGTGGGCTCATCTTCCCAAAGAGGAAGGAGCCCCTGGGGTCGAGTGCAGGGTCCCTGTGGAAAGGCAGCAGGACAGGCACCCGGCGCTGCCCGCAGGCCGTCACCAGAGTGACTGTGCGGCCCCGGAGCTCAAGGGCCAGGTGGTGCCAGCGCCCGTCGTGCATGTCGAGGTCAAAGGCCACCGAGCGCCGGGACCCCAGGTGGACGACCGTCTTGCCGGGGAGGAACTGCAGGCCCAGCTGCAGCTTGTGCTTCCGGCTGCGGACGGCGAAGAGGAAGGCATGGTTCACCCGGTGGGAGCAGAGGCTCAGCACCAGCGCCAGCTCTGTGCCCAGGGCGGCAGGAATGATGGCACTCATGGGAGCCTGGAGCCGGGCCCGCTGCGTAAAGATGAAGCCCGACTGGAAAGGAATGACTCCCGGGGGTGCAGGGCTCCCGGCCTTCGTCCAGCTGAGGCCCAGCCGCTGGAGGACATCCACATCTGAGAGGGAGGGAAAAGGGGAGAGGACGAAGTCAGGGCCTGCTCCAGCCACAGCCCACCCCGGCTCCCGCAAGGGGCACAGGCAGTGTGGACAGTCCACCCATAGCTACCTGGTCATTTGTTCATTCATCTAAAAATAAGGCTGCCCCATGGTGGTGGCTGAGAGGGCAGCATTGGAACCATCTGGCATGGATTGTGACCCCTTACCTGGTTACATAATCTTGCATATTGAGGCTAAAAACAGTCTCTGGAATCAAACTTCCTGAGTTCAAATCCTAGCTCTAATACTTACTAATCTTGTGATTTTAGTGCCTCAGTTTTGCCACCTGTTAAATGGGATAGTAATAGTCCCAACAATCTCAGAAGGATGTAATCATTCCATGAGTGAATACATTCTTTTTAAGTGCCTGGTACAAAAGAAGCACTTTCAAGTAATAACTAATATGAAAATAACGATAATCACCAAATGCTCTTGCTGAGAGTGTTAGTGGCTGCCCAACCATCACATGTTATACGCCTTTTTCTCTACCTGGGAAGCCACCTCCTCTAGGAAGCAGTCCCATAAGTGAGGGGCCAGGGTGACAGGAATAGATCTGTCACCAGAGCTTTGTAAGGATGTCCCAGGGATTTGACTGGTTTTACCAACTCCTCAGAGACCCATCCCTTCCGCTTCCCTCTCCTGAGGTGTCTCTAGCAGGCTAAGGGGCTGCTATCTGCTATCAGAAGGGTGATGGCATTTCCGCTGACTCCTCCTCCTCCCCACAGGGCTCCGAGGAGATGAGTGAAAGTAATCGAGGCACCCCTGTAACCTCTGTCCTCTGGCAAAGTGTGTGGACATCTGACTGTGGTCTGGCCAGGTCACATCCGCCCAATAATTATGTCGGCAGGGCTTGCCAGAGTAAAAGCAAAAGGAGGGCTTCCAGAGTGTTTATGGAAAAGCTTCCTGATCTTTCCTCTCTCAGATCATTAGACCCCTTCAGTTAGCTGAGTTGCCATTGTCAGCAGAAGCAGGTTCCTGAGCTCTGACTCAGCAGGGAAGGAAAAGCTGCCTCTGGAATCTGAGTCTGGGTCAGGTCCTCAGGGCCCTTCCCCTGAGCTCAGCAAGCTAGCCCCTAAGTACAGAATGCGCTCTCCCTATCACTCCCTGCAAAGGTTGTGCTGGGGGCTGAATGCAACACTTGGCATTTGGCCCTCAGCTGACAACTGGGAGATGGATGGATGGATGGATGGATGGATGGATGGATGGATGGATGAATGAATAGAGTGGATGGATGGATGAATGGATAGATAGGTAGATGAATAGGTAGATGGATGGATGGATAGATGGATGAAAGGATGGATGGGTAGATGGATGGATGTATAGATGGATGAATAAATGGATGGATGGAGAAATGGATAGACAGATAAATGGATGATAAATGGATTGGTAGAACTGGTAGATGGATGGATGCATGGATGGATGACAGATGAAGGGATGAATGGATGGACTGATGGATGGATGAATGGATAATGACTGGTCGGCTGGCTGGATGGGTGGGTGGATAAATGGATGGATGGACGGATGGATGGATGGATACGTGGATGAATGGATGGATGAATGGACGGGTAAAAGGGTAGATGGATGAATGGATAAATGGATAGCAGATGAATAGGTAGGTAGATAGATGGATGCATGGATAAATGGATGAATGGATGGATGAATGGACGGGTAAAAGGGTAGATGGATGAATGGATAAATGGATAGCAGATGAATAGGTAGGTAGATAGATGGATGCATGGATAAATGGATGAATGGATGGATGAATAGATGAAGGGATGGATAGATGAATGAATAGACGAATGGTGGATGGATAGATGGATGGATAATGGCTGGCTGGATAGATGGGTGGATGAATGGATGCATGAATAGGTAGGTGAATTGGTAGATGGATGGATAGAAGAATGGATAGATAAATGGATGAATGGATGGATGGGTGGATGAAAGAGTAGATAAATGGATGATGGATGATGGATGGGTTGATAGATGGATAGATAAATGGATGGGTACATGAATAAGTAGATGAATGGATAGGACAGTCCCCTGGGGGAAACTGAGAACATGAGTGCTGGCAGCATGTTACAATGATTCCATAGCAGAGTCTGGAGTCAGAAGGCCAAAATTTAGAGCCTGAGAAGGCCAGCAGTATGCCTGGACTCTGAGCCTCAGTTCCCTCCACCATAAAACAGGGCTAGAAACAGTGCCTACACCATAGGGTTGTTAAGAGGATGAAGTGGTCATCTTCCTCATCATCTTCACCCAAGCCCCACATTAACTCTGCTTGAATCTCTTACTGACACTTGGACCTCAATTCCCTGCCTATAAGACAAAAGAAACAGCCCTTGAGATAGCGCAGGTGTTAACAATGTCTAAGAATCCTATAGCTCTGTGCTGCTGGTTCAGGTTGGCTTGAGTTTAAGACCCTTATTCCTCCTTGGGACCCAAGGGCTTTCATTTCATTTCAAACTCCTCCTTCTCATCCTTTCTCCCATCTGCCTGTCCTCAGGTTCTAAGCTAAAATAAACTACTGCTTAAGGATTCTCTTAGTGGTATACCCTATATGTTTTAACCACGGAAACCCTCTTATTATCATGAAATACCATTCACTATTATTGACTATAAACTGGGACTTAGAATGGGAGGAGCCATTTGGTTGGGGAAGACATAAGGGCAGGAAGCCACCTGGCCCTTCCTCTAGTCCCGTCTCAACAACCCCTGGAGGACCCTTCAGGTCCACTCACATCCCTTCCCACGTGGAATTTAGGGCCAACCTGCCCTCGCCCAAGGAGACTCACAATTGGCTGGGCCAGGCAGCGTGGATGAGGTTTCCCCTATCCACTGGGTGGGTTTCTAAACTGACCACCAGCCAGTCTCCAGCTGCAGCTAAAGGGCAAATCCCCAAACCCTGACACCTGGCAAAGGTGACCAGTGCAGAGCTGCCGTAAGTCTCTGACCACTGTGGGTCCTGCAGGGCACACGAAAGGGCTGTTCTTGCCCAAACTTTTCAGGTAACTAATTAACACCAATAAGAAAGACTAATATTTATGGAGCACTTACTATACACCAAGTACTTTACAGGCATGATCTCACTTGATTCTCTCAACAATCTATGGAGCGTGTACTCTTTATTATTCTCATTTTATAGATGGGGCTCAGAAGAGTCAGAGGGAATAACTTGCAGCTTGAAAAAGGCACAGCCAAGGTTTGAACCCAGGCCACCTGACCCCAGGGTCTTTGTGCTCAGCCATGATGCTATACTGGCTGGGGCCTCCCAGGCTCGTTGGAAAGCAGGGTGGAGACACATCCAGAATCCCACTAAGGGTGAAGAGATGGGGGACAGGAGAATAAATTCAGTCCAACGCCAAGACAGAAGGATCCTGCCAGCTGGCCCCCGAAAGATCCCTTTATTACATAAACCTGGCTCCACGCAGCTCCAGCCTCTCCCCAACCCCCCGCCCCAGTGCCTGACTCAGGACTCTGGACAGCTGTTCACCTACTTCGTGGGGGAAACAGCAAGCTTGGAAAATATGACATTTGCACAAAACGTTGCTGGGCAGCAGAAGTCTCTTCCGGGCACAGCCCTGCCCTCCCAGGGGCCCAATCCCTGCCGAGTGGCCAGGTCAGGCCACAGGGACTCTCGGCGTGCAGGGCTGCCTGCCCCAGCACACGGGCTGGGCGTGAAGGAGGGGGAAGGGCAGCTGTTTTCAGAGGCATGTGGCTGCTTGACGAACAGATGTGGGAGAGGTTTCGGTTTCCCTGGGCAGATGTGGAGCCAGCCCACCGCCACCCCGGCCCTCTGGACAGCTCCTCCAGGATAGGAGGGAACAGCAGAATCTCACAGGAAGGGGAGGATGGGATCGCAGGCTTGGGCCGTGATAGTTCATGCTTCATGCTTTTTCTAGCAGCTCTAAGAGCACTCATGGCACGGACAGGGACCAATTGAGGCTTACTGAACCAGGGTAACTTACTCACATTTGCCCCAGAAAGGCACTGAGTCCTTCCTTTTACAAAAACTTCCTTCCCTTTACAAAAACTTCAACAGTGCTGCTTTCAAGCCTAAAGAGAATTTGCCAATGATCATCTCCATTCTACTGATGGGAAAACTGAGGCACTGAGTTCCAATTAAGGGCATGGCCGTCTCCTACCCCTGGAGTTCTCAAGCCCCTTCCGTTCTCCTTTGTCTCTCCCTGGACAAAGAGAAGAGAGAATTACCTTCAGGAGCTCCTTGGGTGGAGGCCAGGTGACAGGCAAACGCGACTAAGATCCAGGAGAAGAGACACCCCCTAGAGACCAGGAGACACAAGCAGAGGCGGCATCAGCTTCCACCCCTCACGCCCGGATCCGGCCGGGGGAGCTGGGAGCGGACGCCAGTCCCAGTCTCACCCCAGTCCTACCCACGGGAGGCAGGAGGCCACGCGCAGGCTCTAGGAGCAGCCGCCCACGCTTCCCAGCCTCCGGGCACAGTCTCTCAGGGAGGACCTGCTTACACGGACAAACACAACCTCGCTTTTCACAGATGGATTCGCCAAGGTCAGCGGGTAGGAAGCAGCACATAGGAAGCCCTGCCCTCGGCACTGGAACATCCAGGGTCCAGCTCAAAATCTGATGCTGACGCACTGGGCAACCAGGGGCCAGCCCCTCCCATTCTCTGGGCCTCAGTCTCCCAATCTGTACAACAGCCTCATGATCTTGAGACCCTTCCCCAGACTCCAGCCAATGGGCAGCAGAGCCAAGGGTGAAAGGTCAACAGGAAGACCAGGCTGGTCTGCTTGGAAGACCAATCCCCACACAGGGCAGGAGAGAGAAGACCCCTTCACCAGGGCCAGTGCTATGTGAAGGCAGCTCCCGACTTGGCTTTATCCTGACGGGAAGTGGGAGAAAGAAAACAGAGGGGACAAGTGGGAGTTAGACCCAGGTGCAAACCTGGCCCTGTAACTTATCAGCTGTGTGACCCTGAATGAGTCTCTCAGCCTCTCTGAGCCTGTCTCATCTTCTGCAACATTGGCTGATATTCCCTATCTTGCAGGCTGCGCATGAGGATTCAATAAGCTTACGCATGTTAAGGGCCCAGTCTGGTGCCAGCCACAAAAATACTCCCCTAGACAGTCCACGCTGTCCCTACACTCTGGGGCCAGGAAGGGTTAAAGCTCTGCTCCATGGCTCTTGCCAAGATGGGCAAAGGCAATGATCCAATTTCACCTTCCTGTGGGAGCAGCCACCAGTGACACCTGAAGCCAGCGGGGGTATCTGATCCCCAGGCAGGCAGAGGGGAGGGCGGCACGTGGCCAGAGACAGCCGGGACGCAGGAAGAGCGCAGCGCCAGGCGGGTGGTGAGGACTAAGGCCAGGGCAGAATTTCCAAGAAGAAACCTAGGACGGTGCGCTTCTGTGGAATCACGTAATCTAGGAAACCTGTCTGCCAGGGTTGATAACTGGAACCCCACGTTCTTCCCAGACTCCCTGGGCACCTTAGACGACAGCTTCCGTCACTGTGGGCACAGGGAAAGACACTGGTGATTACATACCCACAGACATCCCTCCTTCCTGCTTGCTCACGTAGGTATGGACTTAGAGGATCCTACCTGAATCTGGATAAATCTAAGCTGATCCTGAGAATTCCACTTGCCATCCCTGCGACTGATCTAGGCATGCATACAGGACCCAACTGTGCCAATGAGAGGTGAGGGATGCCTATTAGGGACCCTGGGAAAGCATTTCAAAGGGACAGAGAAAGTCTTCTTTGAGCCTCTATATGTTGTTGAGTAAGGACATACTGCTTGGTGCTGCTGCAGCCATTTTGTGCACATGAGGTAACAAGTCCCATGAGTACGTGATATGGCAGAAGAGAAAAATAGTGGGTGTCTGATGACAGTGTTGAGATGCTGAATTAACCAGCCCTAGTACTGCTCTTCCTTGAGGCCTCTTGATATGGAAATAACCCCCCTTATCATTTAAACTATTTGGAGTTGGGTCTTCAGTTACTTGCAGCGTAAGGTAAACCAGAAACAGCACTCAGGTGCCAGTGATGGTTCCTGAACGCCTTCCCCAGCTCTGGGCCTTTGCACATGCTGCTCCCAACACGTAGACACTACTCCTTTGCCTGGCCAGTTCCTATGCATGCGTGAGATCCCAGCTTGGGTGTGGAGACATACCACCTCCTGTAGCTCACCGCACACGCCTCACTAAAGTAACCACCACATGTGTGCTCATCGTCTGTTCTCCTATTTCCCTGTCTAGACTAAGTCTCTAAAGGGCAAGGACGCCTGTCTTGTTCGATCTTTTTCGTTTGTTTGTTTTGTTTTTGAGACAGAGTCTCACAGTGCTGCCCAGGCTAGACTTGAACTCCTGGGCTCCTGAGCCTTAGCTCCCACCTTAGCCTCCCGAGTAGCTGAGATTACAGGCATGTGCCACCATGCCAGCCATGTTCACGCTTCTATTTCCAGCCCCTGGCAGGCACATAGAAAGTGTCCAGTATATTCTTATAAGATGAATGAATGTTACCTGGTATTACAGGACCGTAGACTTTAAAAATTGTCTTCCCAAAGCCTTAATTCCCCTGCTCTGACTTTTTCCAGAATTGCTCCTAGACAATCCTTGGTCCTTCCTCTTCGTCCTCTCCCATCTGCTGCCACTGTTGTGAGAATGCCTTTTGCATGGGGCCAGGCCCCCTGCTCACCATGGACAACGACTAAAGGTCAAAGTGTCAAGCTGCCCTGGGGTTGCCTGGGGAGAAGGGCAGGGCCAACCCTTCTGGCATGATTGCTCACTGGAAGCAAATGGCAACAGCATCAGCCCTGGAAAGAAATCAAAGGCGGCTTTGTTTCATTAGACAAATGGAGAACTCTGAGGCTCAGGGAAGGCAGGTACTTGCATCCTGGGCAGCATCTGGGCTCATAACTCTTTAGTACTATTTCCCACATCCACCAGGGACATGCTTTCTAGGAAACTGGCCAGCTACATTAGGGAAGAGCTGTCCCCTGCATCCCAGTCTTGACAATCCCGAGAGCACAACTGTATATCAAAGGCTCTGAGAAGTCCTGCAATAAAGAAGTTGACTGTACTTGCTGTCATTCAGCTGTCCCCAAACTTAGAACTCATTTTTCCTGTGAATGCTTCCTCGAGAGAGACTACCCCTTTCCTTCCTGCATTCCTGTGACCCCACCAATTTCTGCTCCATCTCCCTCCATCCCCTCTCTTCCTGGCCCTCGTCTGGCACCTGCCCTCACTCCTTGAGCCCTTCATCGGATTATGTCTCATCCACCCTTCCTAGGAAGCTTCCTAAACTGATAAAGAAAGGTGAGGTGGGGGCCAGGCGCCGTGGCTTTGGGAGCCCGAGGTGGGTGGATCAGGTGATTGAGACCATCCTGGCCAACATGGTGAAACCCCATCTCTACTAAAACACAAAAAATTAGCCGTGCGTGGTGGCGCATGCCTGTAGTCCCAGCTACTTGGGAGGCTGAGGCAGGAGAACAGCTGGAAACCGGGAGGCGGAGGCTGCAGTGAGCCGAGATCGCGCCACTGCCCACCAGCCTGGTGACAGAATAAGAATCTGTCCAAAAAAAAAGAAACAAAAGCAAAGAATGGTGAGGTGGGGAAGAGAAAGTACTAGAACCATACATGTCCTTCTCATTCGACTTTCCTGGCTGCAGCTGTACCAAACTGACGACTCTACAGAGAATTAGAGGGTAAATTAGGGGGAACTCTTTATAATCCCTGAAAGTCAGGAGAAGGAAGACTCCGGGGAGACTTGGAATTAGAAGCTTCTCCTCAATTAATCTTCCTGACACCGTGGCTTCCAACATGAGGATTTCAGCCCTGAAGGCCTGTTACGAAAGTATTCAGCCTCCATTCATTCTCCTTGACAAACGCAGCTGACCCTGTGTGCCCTTGACCCATAAACTTCCCAAGTATAGAGCATGTCAGAGTGGGAGAAGGTCATTTAAGATCATCTAGGGGAGGGGCCGGGCGCGGTGGCTCAAGCCTGTAATCCCAGCACTGTGGGAGGCCGAGGCGGGTGGATCACGAGGTCAAGAGATCGAGACCGTCCTGGTCAACATGGTGAAACCCCGTCTCTACTAAAACTATAAAAAATTAGCTGGGCATGGTGGTGCGTGCCTGTAATCCCAGCTACTCAGGAGGCTGAGGCAGGAGAATTGCCTGAACCCAGGAGGCGGAGGTTGCGGTGAGCCGAGATCGCGCCATTGCACTCCAGCCTGGGTAATAAGAGCGAAACTCCGTCTAAAAAAAAAAAAAAAAAAAAGATCATCTAGGGGTCAGATTCTAGTCCTCTCTCTCCCTTCTTTGAAAAGTTGGGTAATTGAGGCCCAGAGAGGGAAAGTTACTTGCCCAAAATCACACAGTGCTTCAAGTCATGACTTAACAGATAGTCCTTTTCATTTGACTTGTCTCCATGGAACAGAAATTGCAGACTTGCAGGGACTTCATACTTGCCAGAGACCGGAGCCCCAGCCTTCACCAGCAGGAACAGAGACGCAACCCGGGGAGCCGACGAGCCATCTAAGTAAGCTCCAGGCCTGGAAAGTTGGCTCTCAGAGGGAGGCCCTGCCGATTCTTTTGCTCCCGTTCCAATCCTGTTTAGGCTACTGCTAATCATGTTCAGTGCCTGTGCGGGCTTAGGGCTTTGTTCTTCCAGACTTCTGTTTTCACCACTTGTCTTGTGGGCCTTGGCTCTGCGAACCCAGGGCTCCAGAATGTCGGGAAGACCAGAGCACAACGGCCAGGGAGGCCAGGAGGCAGCCGAAACGGGAGCCACGAGGGAGGGAGCCTTGGAAACATCATCTGGCCACACAGCCCTCCAAGGAGGAAGCCCAGGTGTTCCTATGCCCTGCACAAGGCCTTCTGCCAGTGCACCAAATGGGGCTGCTCCTGAGTAACCACACTGCCAGAACCGGCAGCCTGTTGGAATAGTTTTTCTTCCATCCTTATTACCTGGAAACACACAGGATCTCGGAAACACATACCAGCTTCAACAGTCACTGAGGGCTCTGAGCTGAGACCCAGGACACAGAAACACATAAGCAAAGCGGCCCTATGGACACTGGGCTGTTCACCTGTGGGGTGAAAGCTGAAAAGGGAGGTAGCTGGAACTACAGCGCAGCAAGAGGGGTGGAGACCTGTCCCACCTGCCTCCATGGACGGGCCAGACCCCCTGTGCCCACACGGCTATGCCTGGACTTCCTTCACAGCTTCCACCTCCTCCATGGGAACACAGACAGGTCATCGTCTGGATGGATGCAGACCAGAACTTTCCCATTGACTCACACACCCATTCAACATGAAGGGAATAATACAAATACCAGCTGCTGTTTATTGAACACTTACTACATGCCAGGCCCTGTTCTAAGGCTTTTACAAGCATGGTCCTGTTCATCCTCACGAAACCCAGCCAGCTGGGAATGAAGGTGCCCATTCTGTGGAAGAGAAAAACAGGCAGCAGAGTAGCTCACCCAAGCAAGTTAGGATTCAAACTCGAGCCTGTCTGTGGCAAGGCTTGCGCCCCTCCTGTGTTGCCACCTGTCTCCCACTGACATGATTCCTTGAGTGTCTCGAAGCCGTCCCCTACCACCAGTGGATATGGTATTCTGCACGGCCAAGCCAGACATGTGGGTATCAAGAGGGTCCCTGGACGGAGACGGAGGAGCAAAAATACAGGGGGAGTGTGCTCAGAAGGGACAGAGTCCACCGGGAGGCTGCTGGCTGCTGAGGGTCGGCGGGGTGGGTGGAGGCACAGGAGAGGGAGAATGTTCTGAGTACAGGGAGGAAAGAGAAGGAAGCAGAGGCCAGGGATGTGTCCAGAGACATGACAGGGAGTCTGGTCTGGTCAGAGGGGTAGAGGAGTAAAGCTGGAAGGCGTGCTGGAGCCAGAGCACATACCATGCGGGGCGAGGTGATGGCAAGGGAGGCAGGGAGGCAGGAGAAGGTGGAGACTGGGCCTCCAAGGAGTGTGACTGCCCATTGCCCAAAGCTTGGGCCCTACCATGGGGTGCTCGCCTGGCACCACTTTTCTGCCCAACTGCTGGCTGGCATCTGCCCTGGCGCAGGGTCTTCTGGAGAAAATGAGTCAGCAGTGTTCTCACTGCTGTCCCGTGTGTGTGTGTGTGTGTGTGTGTGTGTGTGTGTGTATGTGTGTGTGTTTTGCGGTGAGGGGGGTGGGGGGCCGAGGAATCTTAACCAGCCAGCTTTTTCCAAGACACGGGGAAGAAAGGGGGGGTGTCATCCCCCAACTTCAGCTCAGAGGGGGCAGGGCCCAGCTACAGCCCTGACAGCCTCTGGGGAGTGTCCTGGGGTACCAGGGGCAGGATGGAAAGAGAGGAGCGCCGTCCACCCCGGGCCCCAAGGGGCTGCTTGCATGCTGCTGGCTCCCACACACACCCACACGCTGCGCCGGCTCCAGCGCCGGCTCACTCTCTCACAACTCCTACTCCACACGCCGGGAATCCCAGCCTCTGGGCCCCATCCCCGCGCAGCCGCTCCTGGGAGAGTCCCTGCCCCTCTCTGGCCCTGTCTCCCCTTGTGTACACTGAGGGGTTCCGCACAGTGATGGCCCAGGACTCCTTCTGCTCTGACATGCTGGCTCTCACTTTCTCTCTCTTACACACGTGAAAGGGACAGGAACCGAGAAGCAGGAAACAGACCTAGGCCGACTCACACACACGGGGAGATATCCAGAAATGCGGGGACGTGCAGAGCCACACAGACACGGAGACAGGAGCAGAACCCGAGACCTGGTGACCTAGAAACTTGCAGACAATTTTACAAGAACAGATAGAAACCGAGACGTACAGGCTTGGGACCTGCAGACACCGAGACACCGGAACACACCGAGACGGCCCCAAACGGAGAACCCCCTCATCCCCCAAGCATCCAAAGATCCCCCCTCTGCACCCCGCTGGCCGCTCCAGGCGCCACCACCCACCCCCACCCCCGACCCCCGGGCCAGCTCTGCCCCCGCCCCAACGGGATCAGGCAGCCGGGCAGCCGGGCCAGGCGCGGCAGGGCAGGCAGCGCTCGCCAACTCTCGCCCGGCCGGGGGCGAAGCCCCTATTAACCCTTGGCGTTCCGCCTCGCTGTGGCGCAGGAAGGGACAGGAAGCTGACGTTCCGCTGGAAGCGACCGCGTGGCGGGGAACCCCAGCCCTCCCCGAGATTGGAGCAGCAGGAAGCTGGGGAGGGGGCGTCCCCGAGCTCGTACTCACCCCCCGCGCGCCGCCGCCGCCGCCGCTGCTGTGCCTCGGGCCCCCAGCGCCGATCCCGCTCCCATGGCAGGCCCCTACTTCATGCTCCCGAGCCCGGGGGGCAAGTGTGGGCGCGCCCCATGGGGCCGCCAGCCCCCCGCCCCGCCGCGCCAGGCCGGCTCAGAGCGCGCGGCCCCCGCGCCCCCAGCGCAGCCCCGCGCCCAGGGGCGCCCGAGCAGCCAAGCAGCGCGGCTGGGGCCCCGCAGGCGCCCGCGCCAGGCCCATGGTCCCAGGAGTCCGGGCGCCGCGCTCGCCCCTGCCTCGCTCCTTTTCTGCTTCCACCAAAAAGGAAGAAGAAGCAAGAAAAAGAGAGAGAGAGATGATCAAACTTTTGGAGGCGGGCTGCTGGCGGTCCCCGGAGGCAGAGCAAGGCCGGGTGAGGGCGCGCGGAGGGCGGTGGAAGCTGCCTCCCCGCCGGCCTGGGGGAGGAGAGGAAAAGGAAGGATTTGGGGGAAATGAAGGCGATTTAAAGTCTCGGCCCGCGGTGGCTCTCCACCTTCCCTCCTCCCCGCGCTGGGCCGCCCTCTGCTGCCCCCTGCTGCCCCCTGCCGGCCGCAGCCGAGGATACAGCCTCAGCTGGCCCACTACAGCCCCGCTGGGACACCCGCCCACTCCTCCTTGTAAAGATGGGGAAGCAGATTCACAGAGAGGAAGGGGCTGCCCAGGGCTTCACGACGATTTGATCTGCTTTCTGAGATTAGAAATTTCCGACTGGTGAGGCTGGGGGTCCTCCAAGGGGGGGTTAGGGTAGAGACAGGAGGGACAGATTCCACTCATGGAAGAAACCCGCAGTTCCAGGGACACGGCTGGGACCAGGACTTGGTGTCCAGACTCCCACGACAACCAGTATGCTGAACCCCACCGCCCACCAAAAGGTTGCGCACCGATACTTGGAGCTCCGTGGAGAGCATAAAGGGTGGCTTGTTGAAAGTTTGCCCCCCTCTCCCTTCTGTCAGAGATTGGATCCTACCCGCTCCCCGCCCCCGGACCCGCGCACCTCCCCAGAATCGACAAAAACTCCCTCGGATCCCATACTGGAGCCAAAGAAGCACACCTTTACCCAGGCACATTCTCACTGCCTCAGTCCAGCCCTGGGACCACAGCTCCCGCCGCCTCTACCACCTCTTGCCACTCGTTCACAGGCAAAGTCACACTTATTCACCGGTGCACAATCCCGCACGTATCCACGCTTTCCCCAAACTCAGACACACTCTCACACCGGGTCACAAGCAGGGACAGCCACGCACCCTTCCTGGGTTCACATAATAACGCATCCTCAGATCTGGGCTCAGGCGCACGCTGAGACTCCACACTCAAAGACACACGCACACGGATGCTTACACACGGGCAAATGCACACTATCCTGGCCATATAGCCTTCACACGTGTACACACTCCAGGTGCACACACTCACGGGCGCACACCCTCACTTGCACACAGCTCTCCGAGAGTGCCCACCGCACATGTGCACACACCCATTCACTCCCCACGCATGTACCACCCACCTTCCCATACGCGCACACCTTTACGCACGAACACACACACACACGGACAGCAACACTCTCCGCGCTCCAGGAGCCTCCAGGCACTTACTGGGTCCCTAAGTGCGAGGCTGGCCGGTCGGTCCTTCCTCCGGCGCCTAACGGCATTTGTATTCATGGGTCCCCGCAGCCGTGGGCGCGGGGGCAGGGGGGGGTGCAAGGTCCCCTTCCCTAAACGCAGCGCGGGCGCGCGGAGCGCAGCGGCACCGGGAGGGGCATGGGCGCGCGGGACTGCGCCGCCGGCCCGGTCCGCCTGCGCTCGAACTTCGGCCGCTCTGCGTCCACGGACTCCGGCGCGGGCTCCGAGAGCGGGGGGCGGCTCATAGGTGCTGGGGCCGCGGCGCCCGCCGGGCCTTTTGAAGTCTCCGCTGGGGGCGGGGAGGGGGCGCTGAAGGCGGCCTTTTAAACCGTAGCTGCTAGCGGGTTCGGTCGAGCAAGGTGTCTGGTTTCAACAAACTTTAGGAAAAGTCCCAAGCCGAGAGAGGGGAGGCAAGGGGGTGGGGGGAGCTGCATAGCTGTGCGCTGCTTCCTGCAGAGGGCAGAGCACCCATGGCTGCCAGGAGGGAGGCCCGTCGTGGGACTGGAGAACCGGCAGTCTGCTAGCTCCCGTGTGGAACCACCTCTGCCACCCCCGCACCCCCATGTTGAGCCAGAGTTCTTAACTTCAATGTGCAGGAACCCCAGGGAGTACAGGAAGACCCCCAAACTGTGCACAAATTGAGCATGCTTGTGCATTCTTCAGGGGAGAGGGGCCACAGGCTTTCCTCCGGTCTTCAGAAGTCCACGGCCCCCTAAGGCTCTCCAATCATAACTAATGTTTTTTTAGTTGTATACATGGTACCATGCAGACCCTGCCTTTATTTACATTTTAGTTATTTTGTTCATTGTGGGGTTTTGCATTAGTTTTTATACTTTGAAAAGTATTGCATCAAAAAATTATCTTTATTATTTGGGCGTTTGGGGGCACTGCTTTGGGCAATTGACCTCATTGCTGAGTTTTCTTGGCGTCTCCTGGTATGCCGCATCTCTGCATGTGCCACGCCCTAGTCCAGACCCTGACCCACACAGGGCTGGGGTTTAAGGGAGGTCTGTTACTTTCTCTCCATTTACAGATGGAAAAGCTGACATAAACTGGTAGGTGGTGGACGTTGGATTTGAGCCCAGGTAGCCTAACTCCAAACTTCTGCATCTTGTCATGAGGATCCAAATTTTAGCCTTTAAGGGGTTCTGTGCAGATCCTCCCCAGCCTCCCCAGCTTCAGATCCTGCCTCCTGAGCTCCAGCCTCTCCGATTCCTGCACCCAGGCTCAGGTAAGCTTGGCTACTTGGATGCTTTGTCCGTACTGTTTCCTCCCACGTTCTTCCCTTGCCCCATTTCTGCCTGTTCACAACCTCATTGTTCTTCCAGGTGCAGCCCGGAGCTCACCTAGCTGCTCTGCCCTACACCAGATTGCAGCACACAAGACATGGCACTGTCACTGGGAGATCTATCTCTGTCCCTGGACACCCAGCCCCAACACATGGAGTCTGGGATACAATAGATGCTCAAGCAAACCCCTGTACCAGACTCTGGGGCGGGGATGGGGTGGGGAAGGATCTGCCACTGTGGAGACAGGCACAAAAATGGTCCTGCCTTCTGGTCATGCAGGCATTTGTAATGTGGGCAGATATGCACAGCAACTTGGGTTAGGGAAGAGATTCTGGATGGGAGATACCAGACATCACTGCGTCATGGAGAACCCCCTGCAACTGCATAAAGGTGACATAAGGAGAATGTGATCAATGCTGCCAAAGAGATGTAGATCAATTGAATTGCAAAGCTGATTAAGGGCTAGAAAGAAACCAAGGAAGGCTCCCAGGAGGAGGTGGCATTTGGATCCTAAAGGGTGTGTTGGATAAATGTGCAGCCATGGGGGAGAAGGACATCTTTGGTGAAAGAGTCACAAAAAGGCCAAGAGGATAGAGGTGGATTTCAGGTAGATTTTGAAGGAGGATTGAGGAGGTGAGGCCCAGTAGAGAAACTGTCCAGCTCTCTCCACTGTTTTGTGTGTGATGCCACACAACTCACTGTACACAAAGCCATTTCCAGGCAAAGGGCTGCATTTCCTGAAGGGTCAGGCAGCAGGTCAGTGGCTAAGCACCAAGGCCTTTTCAAAGGCCTTGGCGTCACTCACAAATCTGAATAGGCAAGGCTTACTGCCAGGGAACCCTGCTTCACTGAGGGCACTCCAAAAGATCCATGAGAACCCCATGAGCACCCAGAAGGATTGAGGGCACCCCTCTCAGAGCCTCACTTTGCTCGTCTGTAAAACAGGTGCATCAGACATGATGAGCTGTGTGGGCCCTCTGAGCTTGGAGGCATGAGACTGTTATTCCACAAGAAATCCAATTCTGTAAATGAATACTGAGGGCTAAATGCATTTTTGCTAGGTCGGGAGGGAAATGAGGCTCATGGCCTTCCAGGAGCTCATGGTCAGTTGGAAAGAGGAGGCATGGACGCTGGGAAGAATTCCAAGGAAGGACCTTGTATCCTGCCTCTGCTGTCTCCTCACACCCAGTCTTCCTGCCAGGTAGGTTCCTGGCACAGAGCCAGTGACTGGGCATGAACAGTTCTGATGGACATCGAATGTGGAAGACACTAAGCCACTGCCCACCCCGCAGAGGGGACAGGGCAATCACCAAACAGCCCTAAGAGACCCATTTCTATGAGGCAGAAGGCAGTAAGCCTGGGAACCAGGTGAACAGGGGCTGCCAGGCCTCTGTAGATGCCTCAGGTTGGGAATTCCTGGCCTGGGAGGGACTTTCAGGGACCACACACATGGTTTGCCCCCTGCTCAAGCAGTTCAGCCACGGACCCATTGGTCTCTGTGGTGCATCTGCCTTTGGAGAAGCTGTTGGTTGCAATAGCTTCAATGGTGGGCACACAGTAGGTGCTCACAAAATGTTTATGAATGAACCACTAGATGAAGTCTTCTTCTTCTTTTTTTTTTTCATTTTAATAGAGACAGTCTCACTTTGTTGCCCATGCTGGTCTTAAACTCCTGGGCTCCAGTGATCCTCCTGCCTCAGCCTCCCAAAGTGCTGGGATTACAGGCATAAGCCTGCACACCCAGCCCTAGAGGAAGTCTTAACCTATGAGACAGAGGTTGCATACCCCCCCCAAGTATCAATCTGCATCCATTTACTCACCAAGCTGCTTCTGAGGACCCACTGTGCACCAGGCTGGGTTTTCTGCTCTAGAAATGCTATGGTCTGAGGAAGGAGGCCAGCAAAGAGAAAGACAGACAAAAAATGCAGGTCAGGAAGTCCCGCCTCAAATCAAGCCCGTTTAAGCGGTACTGCAGAATCTGGAGGAGAACCAGGGTCCTCCCACTAGGAGAAGATCTAGAGTCCTCCAGTCTTTCCAATTCCCTGCACAATTCACATCTAACCATGGAGTCATTCTTTCCTTGGTAGAGAGATGCTGTCACACATCAGCCCCTGAGCT